AATCTAGTACCATAATCAGCTTGGAAGAAATCCTTTTTTATTTTTTTTTTTAACATTTATTTATTTTTGAGAGACAGAGTGAGACAGAGCACAAGTTGGGGAGGGGCAGAGGGAGAGGGAGACACAGAATCCGAAGCAGGCTCCAGGCTCCGAGCTGTCAGCACAGAGCCCGATGCGGAGCTCGAACTCACAGACTACAAGATCATGAACTGAGCCAAAGTTAGACGCTTAACCGACTGAGCCACCCAGGTGCTCCCGTTTGTATTTTTTTAATGTTTGTTTATTTTTGAGAAAGAGAGTATGCAAGCCGGGAAGGGGCAGAAGGTGGGGCCAGAGGATCCGAAGCTGGCACTGTGCTGACCGAGCCCGATGCAGGTCTCGAACTCACAAACCGTGAGATCATGAGCTAAGTCAAAGTTGGACACTCAACCGACTGAGCCACCCAAGGTGACCCAGAAGAAATTCTGTGTTGGATTTTTTGTGTGTTTAATGTTTGTCTATTTATTTTTGAGAGAGAGCAAGCACGGGCAGTAGAGGAGCAGAGAGAGAGGGAGGCAGAATCCCAAGCAGGCTCCGTGCTGTCAGTGCAGAGCCTGATGCAGGACTCGAGCTCACAAACCGTGAAATCGTGACCTGAGCTGAAATCAAGAGTCAGACGTTCAACCAGCTGAGCCACCCAGGCGCCCCTCTTCATTGGATTTTTTGGGGCCAATTTTTCAAACAATGTTAGCTATAAGATTGCTTTGTAAATGTATTTTCCTTTGACAAATGGTGAGTAAGTTTACCCCCATTTTAGCCTCTCTTAATAAGGGTTAAACGATTTCAGACATTTGTTTTACATTCATTTCACTCACAGTGTGTGTGGCTTGGCAGATTTTGATGCCCAGTCTTACATGGCTTGTTGCTGTAATTTGGTGCTTTAAGGAAAGTCCTCACCCCCATTTCTTTCCTTTCTCTTTTCTTGTCTTTTTTGTTCTCTCCTTTCCGAGGGTTGACGGTCTGTGGACCCAGAACGAGCTCCTCCAGCATGCAGAGGAGAGAGAATGTGGGCTTGTGTCAGACCCTCCGTGGGAGGGGGAGAGGGGCCGGGAGAAGCTCTGTGTCTCTTCCCTTGAGGTATAGTTCTTCCAGTCTGGTGACCTGTCAGATCCACTGAGTGCTTGGTAAAGCAGATTGGACAGTGACTCGAGGAAGCAGTGGGGTAGGGGTGGGGTGGGGGGGGCTCGGTATTTTAAGTAGCAGCTCTCAAAAGTAAAGTGAGTTCTCCAGGGGCTTGGTACACCGAGCTGTGTGTGTTGTCAGTGTTAGAGCCCTGCAGGAATTACGCACAGTGGAGTGTTGACTCCTAAGAGGCAAAGGAGGAGGATGAGAAGCTGGGGCAGATTGTGAGGCACCGAGGAAAGAGGAGCCATAAATGTTGGCTTGAGTTTCGTGCAGTGATGCTTGCTTAGTCCTGACAGCTCTTGATCAGAATGCCAGCCCACAGAGTTCCACGTTCACATACATGAGTATTTTTGACAAGAAAGATCGTCGTTGTGATTTGACACGATACCTTCTGGGAGAAGAGGTAAAAGTTGAGGAAACCACATTGTACCTGGTACATGACTGCAGTTTGGACTTCCTGGGTAACAGGAACCTGCTGCAGTCTTACATGACTGATTTCTGGACCCAAAGTGGGCTTGACAGGGGGCTGGAGCAGTAATAGCCCCCCACTGTCGGGAGAGGCTGGGGCAGGCTTTTCCCAGCAAGCCCGCCCCGAGGTGTGGCCATCCCGGACGCCAGGCCCCACAGCTTGCGGGACATTCCCCTGAGGGAGCTTTGTCCTCGAGGCAGCCTCCCAGCAGGACAGGTAGAGGTCTGGGTGCCTGAGTCAGAAAAAACACTGAAAGCTGTGGCCTCACCTGTTAGACACCGCCTGCACAGATGCTGAGGAGTTGCGGTAGTCTCTGGACAGGAGACAAAAGATAGTGGGCTTCTGCTTTTAAGGAGCTTATGTTTTGCCCTGACCTTCGGCCAAGTCATGAAAGAAAATGGACATGAAACTTTGTGATGGTCATTCGTATAGGCCCTAAGCCCATGGGAGGCCTTGGGCCTCTGGAGATGGAGACTCAGGCCTTAACAGCCGTTTGTCTTCATCAGCAGTACATACGTACCTGGCTAGTGAATGAGTATTCGTTGCCATTTTAAAATGGAAACTACAGGGCGCCTGGGTGGCTCAGTCAGTGAGGCGTCTTGACTCTTGGCTTCGTCTCAGGTCGTGATCTCCCGATTTTGTGAGTTCTGGCTCTCGGTGCTGGCAACGCCGAGCCTGCTTGGGATATTCTCTCCC